GATAATTATCGATATCGGTCAATACAGGAAAAAATATCGTGATCATTTTTTTTGCCATCTCGCCCAGCTCTAAGAAAGGACATTTCAGCTGAATTGGCCAAGGTGGGTCTTAGACGTGTATGGACAATGGCCGTAGCGCCCCCATCTACAGGATCTACAGGAAATTTGGAGGGTCTGTCTGGGGTGCAGTCCTACGTTAGTGGGCCAAATTTGATGATGATTGGCTGAAGTATGCCCGAGATATAACTGTCTGATTGAAATGGGCGTGGCATCAGTATGGTCAAGGTGTGTCTGCGGGAATTTGGCATGAAACACTGGATTGGCTCTGTCACAAATCTCAATTTTATCCTTAACAATTCAGGATAAATAGGCAGAAATACAAAACTTGTCGCTGTAGTGCCCCCATCTGGTGGACTGGGGTGCCTTTACCAGGGTGAGGTCAGGGTCTGTAGGCACATGGATCATCCAGATTAAGTTCAGATTGGTGATTGCTAGGCCTGTCAAATGGATGCTTGATTTTCATTGGCTAGTTATGGCCATCATGTTATGACTTCTGACTGCCATAGTAGACGTGCCAGATTTCACTTGGATTGGCTAAGCAGATCAGGAGATATTGCAAGTAGGTATGTATAGCACCCCCTATTGACAAAATGCGGCCCGCTTTGTATGGTGTCCCCATAATGGTGTAGGGAGGTAGGATTTCAAATTTGGTTAAGGTAGGCTAAGTTATAGCAGTCAGACTACAAAAGGCCAAATTTGGGCAGGATTTCGGTGTGGCTAGTGGTTGTACGATAGACAAATGTCAGGCTTTTTTCAATATCTCTTAATCAGCTCAGGGGACTGTTTGGTTTGACACCTCATTGGTCTGATTTGGTCAGACAGGGTAGGACTTCAAGACAGAAGTAAGTTTTGCAAATTAGCAAAAAATCTAAGTGGGCGGAGCTTCATAGTCCAAATGGGAATGGGAAGGCATGGCTGTCTGTATCAGCAGAAAAAAGATTTTCAATTGTAGGACTAACAGGACAGGAGATATCGACTGAAACGTGTTGGGGGGGGNACATATATGGACAATGGCCATAACGCCCCCATTTGACCGATCTACAGGAAATTTGGAGGGTCTGTCTGGGGTGCAGTCCTACGTTAGTGGGCCAAATTTGATGATGATTGGCTGAAGTATACCCGAGATATAACTGTGTGATCGAAATGGGCGTGGCATCTGTATGGTCAAGGTGTGCCTGCGGGAATTTGGCATAAAACACTGGATTGGCTCTGTCACAAATCTCAATTTTATCCTTAATTCAGGATAAATAGGCAGAAATGCAAAACTTGTCGCTATAGCGTCCCCATCTGGCAGACTGGGGTGCCTTTACCAGGGTGAGGTCAGGGTCTGTAGACGCATGGATCATCCAGATTTAGTTCAGATTGGTGATTGCTAGGCCTGTCAAATGGATGCTTGATTTTCAATGGCTAGTTATGGCCATCATGTTATGACTTCTGACTGCCATAGTAGGGGTATGACCTCTGGACTGGCCATAGTAGACATATGCCAGATTTCACTTGGATTGACTAAGCAGATCAGGAGATATTGCAAGTAGGTATGTATAGCACCCCCTATTGACAAAATGCGGCCCGCTTTGTATGGTGTCCTCATAATGGTGTAGGGAGGTAGGATTTCAAATTTGGTTAAGGTAGGCTAAGTTATAGCAGTCAGACTACAAAAGGCCAAATTTGGGCGGGATTTGGGTGTGGCTAGTGGTCGTACGATAGACAAATGTCAGGCTTTTTTCAATATCTCTTAATCAGCTCAGAGGACTGATTGGTTTGACACCTCATTGGTCTGATTTGGTCAGACAGGGTAGGACTTCAAGGCAGAAGTAAGTTTTGCAAATTAGCAAAAAATCTAAGTGGGCGGAGCTTCATAGTCCAAATGGGAAGTTGGAAGGGCATGGCTGTCTATATCAGCAGAAAAAAGGTTTTCAATTGTAGGACTAACAGGACAGGAGATATCGACTGAAACGTGTTGGGGGGGGGGGGCGCTACGGCACCCCCATCTATCTGACAGACTTGGGATGGACAGTCTGAGTAGTGCGTGGGAATTGACATCTTCCTGCCGAATTTGGTCGGCCTAGGTCTTGCGGTTTAGGCTGCCCATTCAGTTTTAGGGAAGAAAAAAAATAATAAATTCTAAGAAAAACAATAAGGTTCCACAGCACTACGTACTTTGGACCCTTAATAATATTAATAGTGCAATGATGTGGGAGGCTGAGGCTACCTCTACATTCCAGGTGTATGTGTGAGTGTCTCAGTGCAGTGCTGGTTGCTCTTGTGCAGTCTGACCGCTGCAGGGACAAAAGATCTACGGACCCACTTTGTAGAACAGCACAGGTGGAGCA